GCTAACAACATTATTTTTTTTTCAGATACCTTGCTTTTTATCGTTCCAAGGAATTTTGACATTTTTGATACGTCACAGCCTGTTACCTCACTCTTTCCTCAAGAAATAATAGAACGGGCATATATTTCTGTTGCAAACCTGGGTTGCCTTGTGCTCTTTTTTCACAAAAAAACTTTAGAAAACCGTAGTAAAAAGCGTAGCAAATTTCTTAAGAACTGCGTACTGCCTGAAGGAAATTTGACTCCAGAAAATTTCTTAGCCATTTCTTGTACGTCATTTTATATAGAGTTTTTGCTTTTCTTGAGAGCTGCATACAGGCCTTAAGTTACAACTAAAGCTATTCATAGTCGCCTTAGTTTCGACTTTTCTGGCTAAGTACCAACTTAAAATTTAGTTTCGGCTGCAGCTGCAATTAAGTCGTAACTAGGAATAAGTATTTTATTAAATTAAGAAAAAAAGACGAAATATGTGAAAATTAAGTTGGCAGAGCGTGATTTTGATAATATCGAATGATCTCCAATTGAAATTTACAAAGAGCGATCCATTTGAATTGGAAGATGAAATTAAATGTGTATTACAATTCGAATAAGGCTGCATCACAATTTTATAATTCGATGATTTACATATATAAATGCTCAAATAATAAGTCAATTTCATGCTTGTTCTTTTAAAGCAAATTAGTGCATAACATTTAGATATGTGTTTGTATGTTTCACAGCAAGCTTTCGATAAACATCGACTTCACATCATTGCGGTAGTTCTGGCTATTCCACACAATTACAAGAAACTTATACCTTATTCTTTTGCATAAACATGCAATGAAAGTAAAAATTACATAAACGGATGATCAAACTTGACATTATTTAATAAAAATGTAATTTTTCCAAAATATCGTAAAGAAAAATCGATACATTTTCAAACTCGTTTTGCAATATCGTAAAACTAAGTTAAAACTACTTAGTAGAAGTCTGAAATGCGACTATGAATAGAGGTGAATTTTAAGTTGGTACTTAAATTTAAGTTGCAACTTTATTAGTTTCGACTTAGTGGCTGGACTATGAATACGCGCCATTGGAGTTCAAATTGGGAACGAGCATTTTCTCAACTTGAGAAACAGTTATTTTTTCATACAAAGAACAATGCCCTTTTCGTTGAGAATGCTATGATCCTTCACTTGAGATACTGTTGAGAAACACCGTTGGAGATTTGAGAAATACCTTAGTTCTCAACTTAACCTCAGGTTGACCTCAAATCTAAATATTTGTTGGGATGATTCGATAATAAAAGGTTTGCTCAGAAAACAGTTTTCTCGCTCCCTCTTGACAAAGTCGGCTCCCTTAGCAAGGCACTGTGTGTGGGTTCGTGAGTGTGTGCAAAGCTTTTGTAAGGAAGCGTCAAAACTCGAATGTCAATAATGAGCAAACCTTTAATTATTAGTTGTGTTTAATGCGCTGCTCTAGGTTACGCCAGGTTAAGATATCTCACAAAATTGTGTTTCATGAGGATTTTTCTTGCGTGCGCTAAGTGGGACTAGAGCAACTTAGAGCACGATTTTCTGCACCAGCTTTTTTGATGGAGTAACTTGGAGCACGCAACCGTTTTGAGAATTAAGCCTGAAAAGTGTTTCATGAGATTTGTGAATTGAGTTCCTCTAACTTGCTCTATTGTTTTTTTTGACATCTGCTCGATTCTGCTCTAACTTGAGCTGCTCGGAACTTTTTTCGGTCTCATTAAACACAACTATTGAATCATGTGCATGTATTGCTATTGTCATGACAGTATTGTCCGGTGTAACGGCGCGTTTACATTGGACAATGCTGTAAGGAAAATAAAGAAATACGCAATAGTTGCCAAAAAGGCTGATAATTGTCTCCAAGACGTAGGCGTCCTGACAATAGTTAGCTAATTCATTTTGAACGTCGAACGTGAACGATGCATGTCGAACGTGAACGTTGAATTATAAATTGCAGAAATACGCATAAAAACTAAAAAAATAAGAAAGAAGAGACACAATTACATACACACCAGCGTCTCTTTAATTATTGTAGTTACTTTGTTATGAATTTATCTTCTTTCTTGCGCAAGACGTCAAAATTATTGTCTGCATACGTCAAATCATTGTCCGATTTACTGTCTTCAAAATAATCAAGACAGTGATTGAGACAATTGAAGAAGTATACATGTATTAGTGAAGAAGTGTGTATGTGTTTCTATTGTCATGACAGTATTGTCCGGTGTAAACCCTAAGTAAACCGTAACTTATTTAGCGCATTTAGCTCTAAATGTACATTTAACCATACAAAATTCGTCACCTAAATGCAATTAAATGCAACTCCATTTCTGCATTAAGAATCTAAATGCTAAAAGCAACCCTGTGATCTTCTAAAATTTCCACGATTCGAACATGATTTAATGAGAAAAAGTGCCAACATTGCTTTTTCACGTATACAGTTGCTAGCTGCGCTTCTGTGTTCACCGATCGAGATTTCGTTCATTATTTTACATTATTTAGATAAACAGGTAATGGCCGTAGAGCAAACACGACCCTGCCATGTATTTTGTTGTTGCTTGAGAAACCTAGACTGTCAAGGTGCTGGCCCAATGTAGGCTTGCTTTGCTTGCTTTGCTTACTTTAGTTTGCTTTGCTTTACTTTGAAGGCTTTTATGGCCTAATGGTAGCTTTGAACGCTGTCATAGTAGTCAGCTGATTTTCAATGCGCGCAAATATACCCGCCATTCTTTGTTGTGCCAGCAAGTATAATTGTGAATTTTAGTTAAAATATATGTTATTAAACAATTATTTGTTACTAAGAACATTATTTTTTACAGATACTTTGCTTTTTTATCGTTCCGGTTTTGGTGAAGCTGCATTTGGCTGCGCCACTCACCACCCGTGTTTATAAGACGTAATATTCAATTGGAGGTAAAAGAGTTTATATTAAACAATTATTTGTTGCTAACAACATTATTTTTTTCAGATACCTTGCTTTTTATCGTTCCGGCCACCAGATTCTTTGGTTTTCGAGAAGTTGCATTTGGCTGCGCCACTTCCACCCGTGTTTATAAGGCGTAATATTCAACTGGAGGTAA